ACTGAGAGTCGGCTCGTCAGCCAGGAAGACAGAATGATAGACAAAGTAGACAAAGGAAAATGGCAACTTCTGTGGGTTTTCCCTTCACAAGCTTGGTCACAGGCCAAGGACAGCTCAACTGCAAAAAAATCTATTCCGATGAGAGAAACAAGAAAACAAAATATGAATACATGTACATGGTTATTATGAAAGGACAACGTTGGACTTTCCGTCTCTGAACCTTTCAGGTTCTCCCTCCATTTACTGTAATTATCTGATTAGTAGTAATTAGCCTCACACCTTCACTACAAACGTTAGCGTTTGTGTTTTGTTAGTGTTAGTCTGTATTTTGTGTCATGTGATTGATGACGCATGTGACTAATGACGTAATAGGCATGTGAGTGCATAAAGGGGACCCATGCAGGGGTAAAGAAAATGGGTCAGTTCTCTTTTCTATCAACATGCGTCTTTTCTCGGGTAGCACAATGAAGTAGTGAAGTGATTATTTGAAATATGAAATGGTTATGCAAGATTAAATGGTATGGGGCCTCCTGTGTTAATTTTCAACTCCGAAAGAACAGAGTCAAATAGAAAACTTGTGTAAAGTGCCTTTCCCGGGGAAACAACGTCGAACCTAGCTGAGGCTCGACCGCCCAAACCCACAAACCCACGATTATTAATCCGGTAGCCTAGCTACTAGGTTACCGAAGCCACGCGCAATTATTTAAACAAACAAAGTAACTTGTCAGAAATTTTAGAAAGTGGATATCTAAGCTTCTATTTGATTATTCCCTTTTTAAGTTTATTTCGCATGATCAAAAGGATATTTTGTTCAGTCTTATATCTTCAAGATATAATGCAAATCAGGGTGGAAAAACAAACTGTAAAAAGTCTAAACTAACGAGTTAAGAGAAACACTCATAGATACTTGTGTGCTTTCCCTGCCACGCCCTTCTGCGGCATCTTGAGTCTGTTGTTAACTTCATAGCAGCTTCATTGATTACGATCTTCCAACGTCTTTCTAGAGGTACTTAAGTTCTTCTCTTTTGATGCCACGTCCCACTAGTTGGCAAAATTACATGTGAGTGTATATGTATTAAGTGTATGTAAGTGTAGGTTGACCGTTTTTCCTCTGTCCATTTCTAGTTCTATATTATAAAGCACGTATTGCTTAGGGTGGTCAATCTTGATCTTCAGCGTCCGTGCTATGATGTTGACTTAGTGGAGTCTGTAAAAGTATACTTGATCCTCCCTCTCTTAAAATTGAACAAGTTAAAAGCGTCTTTCTCGCTTGTGTGTGAGTTTTTGTGAGTGTGTATGCGCCTGAATGTGAGTGTACGTTTGTGAATATGAGTTTATATCATAATAGGTTAATGTGTGTGTGTGTAATATGTGTGAATGTGTGTGAGACAGAGAAAGAGAGAGAGAGAGAGAGAGAGAGA